TTTACTCTTTCTGTCCCACTTAATGCTGAAAACCTTCAACTTTGCTCAGTATTCCCTACAGCAAATGACAGTAAAATAAAACATTTAAAATAAAGGCACAAGTCTGTCTTATGTTGATCAACTGATGAGTCTGAAAGATACATCAGCAATGTAGAACAGAGCTAGTTGTTCCTGTAACACAAATCAGCTCTCCTACAATTCTCACTTACACCTGTTAAAATTGGGCTTTATTATGTTTGATTAGAATGTGTTATTGAATGTAAGCGTGAAAAACTCTATTTGGGACATAGCATGAGGGGAACAAAGGTTTAAGGTTGAATTTCTCCTATTCATGCATTGAATGGAAATTCTCAACACAGTACAAGAAAGCTTAACAACCAAAATCAAATCAAGTCTTAAAAAAATCATAATTTTGCTTTGAAAGTTTGCCTCTTCAGAAGCTCACCATTTGCACAAGTGGTCTTGCAATTAAAGGTTGTAGAGTCACTCATTTTACCGCAGTAAGATCTTCCAATTAATAATCCTGGATTTTCCCATGAATAATCCTGGACTGTCTCATTCCATACATCCACTCACCAATTTCACTGATGAAAAATGTTGTGAACCTCAGTTCCAAATGATTTCAGTCATCATTTACAGACTATGCATTTCAGTAATCACTCTAGGCTATTTATATAATTTGTCAAGGTTTTTACATTATACATATATATTCTGACAGGAATTTGAACTACACTCCTTGTATGTTTGCAATTGAAAATTATTCAATTATACACAAAAAAAATTAATTGAAGCTGGAAAGTTATCTAAGACTCCAATGAACTTTGAGCAGCTTATTTTCCTATTGGCTAGCACCAAACAAATATTAAACCAGTGCAAATTAAACCAGATGTTGGTTTGTCCAGCGTCTCTCTGTGTACAGCTATAGCTCAGTTTTGTTTGAAAGTGCACAAAAAAAAATCACACTCTGCAAAAATTCTATTGTGCAATGTAAGAAGGAACAATCTGGGCTTCTGACCCTGTGTTTTGTAGAGACAGCAAAAACATCTGATTTTTTTTTCTAAAAATGTTCCTTCTCTAACCTCCAATGCTCCTGAAGACTAGCCGTTCTTTGCCCAAAAATAGTGCTATCTGGTGGGGCACATTCAATGTCTGTATAAAAACAGAAGTCGCTGGAAACACTCAGCACATCAGGCAGCATCTATGGAGAGAGGAAAGTGAGTTAACGTTTCAGGTGAAAACATTTTTGACCTGAAACGCTAACTCACTTTCCGCTCTCCATAGATGCTGCCTGACCTGCGACTTCTGTTTTTATTGCAAGATTTTCAGCATCTGCAGTATTTAGCCAAAGTCTGTATAACCCAGTTTACCAATGAATTTGCCAAGTAAAAATTTGTGTATTTTGATCCTGGAAGCAATGACTTGTGCTAAGGATAGAAGCCATGCATCAGCAGTCCACCATCCTCTTGTCTGTGGCCATTCTTCAAATGTGATCTTAGATACCAAGTGTATGGAAAACGTGAGGGTAACAGAAGCGTGAAAAGCCAGAAACCTCATACTTCCCTCACCTACCTAATTAACAACATTTACTTTCATCTGTCATCATAATTTTTTTCCAAATTGCTTTCAGTCGTTTAATTTATGTGAAAGGGACTATATGGGTGCAATCTACTAATTTCTGGGAATGCATACACATTCCAGCAGGGGTCACCAGCTTCTGCCCCTTATTGTGTAATCCCAGCGCAAAGAGAGTAATGGTGGCACTTTACAGCCCAACTTGGCATTCAAACAGGGAGTTCCCTGCTTCGTATGCTCCGCGTCCCACCATGCAGTTACTTACACAATGAACCAGCTTCCTAGAAGGAGTTGATCTGATTTTAGCAGAATTTAACAAGAGTCCACTTCACGACAAGAGACAAATCAACCTAGTAATAACCTTTTATAACAACAAAGCATTGGGCCACCCGAAATTTCATTAACCCACACCTTTTAAAGGCTTTTCATTTTAATTATTCTAGTTTAATCTGTTAATGGACCTTTGAGACTATAAAGGGATCACAGGAGGACGAGGAGACAGCATGTACTGTCATTCACCTGTCAGCATAAAGGGCATTAATTTCACAAATTTGACACATCATCAGGGAAAGCTCTTTGCGAGCAACTTCAGCAAATTCAAAATATGCTGCCATATGTTAAGATTGCATCACAGCGGTTGTTCATAAATATTTTTAACAAAAAATTATTAAAACAGAGTCCAAAAGGTCAAAGTGAATACAGACCTAATTCCATTAACCGCCCATTGATAAAGCATTCCAGAGTTTAAGGATCACCAACCTTTATATTTAGACTGATTGCCCTTCAAAAATCTGAAAAGTATTGCGTGAAACGACTGGAAACACACCGGATCTACTTAACGCACGATTGTTGGGAGTTGCTCTTAACACACGATGGAAGGGGTTACTTTGACCACAAAACCAAAGTATGCACAGGTATCAGCAAATTAATTATCACAGTGAAATACAGATAGAAATGAAAGTTAAAGTTGCATGCTTTATGACACCAAACCTAACAGGAAGCCTAAGTAATTGAAGAAATTGGGCACCAAAGAAATTCCCCATTACTTCTTTAGAAAATGTACTTTGCTAATAAGGCAAAAACATCAGACCCACGGAGCTGCGAGTACCAATTAAGGACAGACTTTTAAATGGGTAGGCAAAGTGAGAAATGACTAGTGTGGGCAATTTGGCGTAGTGAATTACATGCAAGCAGTTTAGAGTCTGAGGTAATGAGTCTCCAAGTCATTTTTCATGTATCCTATAATGATGTGAGAGTTGTCAAAAGAGTATACGGCATTTCATCAACACCCACTCACACACACACACACAACTGCTGAAATTTGGGAACCATGAGGTCAACCTTTGCTATACAAAATTGTCGAAGGAAAAACATATATAGAAATTTAATGTTTTACCAATTTTCTAAAAGTTTTCAAATTCGTAAATGGGTTTTCTAGATGAAACAAATTATTATTTTATTCACAGGTTCGCATACTGTGGTGATAATAATAATCCTTGCATTTGATATAGCGCTTTTCGTGTCTTCTAGATGCCTCAAAACTTCACAGAATATACTGTAAAGTGAATTGACTGTATATTTTGTGGGCCGATGCGGCAGCCAATTGCGCACAACAGTGTCGCACAAACAGTCGATTTGTGATTGAGTGTCCAAATTATTATTATTATTTTTAAGGATCATTATCTCCAGAAAAGCCAATCGACTAACAACTGGGTTCCTACTTACTGCTAGGTAAACAGAGCCGTGTGGAGTAATGAAACTTGCCCAACATTTCGCCCTACCAGGAACAGTACCTGGATCTCTCGCTTGCCAGGCAAATGCTCTAACTAACCTCTGAGCTACAGGCTGAGTCAGAAGCAAATAAATGTCAAATAAAGAGCCAGAAGTAAATCTAAAAGGGATTTTGGGATGAACTTTATTAAAGAGAGGGTGGTGAGAATGTGAACTGATTGCCTGAAGCTGTGGCTAAAGCAAAAGGCCTCAATGTATTGAAGAGGAATCTTGATGCATACATGAGGGAGAAAAGAACAAAGAGGTATAGGAGACGGAATAGGAGGAATAGGTATTAAGACAACGGAATAGGAAGCAATCCTGGGGTATAAACACCAATAAGGACTCATTAGGTCAAATGGCCCATTCCGGTGCTTTAACGTTCTATGTAAAAACTGCACAACACTACAAAACAGATTTATAAAGTGGCCAAACAGATTCACATTTCTTTCTGTTCAGCTTTCTGACAATATGTTATGATTATCCTCTGGAGGGGTGGACACGGGGAGGGGGGAAATAAGCACGGTCTCCTTGGAGCTGAACTGGATCCAAGATGACATGTTTGGTAACGGAGTGTCAGGATCGAGCCAGCCCTCTGCGGCTGTTCCTGAGCCGGGCGGGTCGCAGGATTCTAGGGCACTGCTGATGACAGCACAGCCAGCCTGGCTCATCGGAAGGAATAGGAAGGGCACACCAGTCACTGGGGGCAGGGAGTCAACCCATTCAGCTCTTGTTAACCCTGCAAGCCAAAGCCCTCATGGGTAAAGTGGTCCTAACTGGGACAAACAGTGGGAGAGCTTGCCAGGCTGCATTCTATATAGCAAACTATGCAGTTTTATCTGGTAAAATCTCAGCAGTACCCAAACTCTGGGGTCCCCAAGCCTTGCCTCTTGCCAACCTTTGCCTAATACTTTCTAGAATTAGGTAAGCAGGATGTGTCCATCCAGGGAGAGAATATTCCATTCCAATAAATATCTCTGGAATTTCCACATATAGGTGGGATGCACCGAACTCTGTTTGGTTTCGATACTCTTAAGCATGGTGATGCATGGTGTCAAACACCCAGCTGACCAAAAAAGACAGCATATTACAAAAATCGTTTCTTGTAAATTACCATTCATGGAACCTTTGCACATGACAAAAAGCAGCCAGGTGTAAAATGAGTAGTTGCAGCCAGTTTTATAGTTGATCTACGTAGCTTTTAAATAAAATACATATCTTTGCAGTAAAAATGCCTTAGTTCAATTTTGAAATAAAAGGTACAAGTGCAAAACTACTTTTCTTCCCCACAGTCGTACCTTACCCTGCAAAAAATGACATATCGATTTGATCCCCCCTATACAAAAGGAAAGGTTAACCTGATACGCAGTAATGTTTTATCATACTATGCCAATCACAGAAAACTAGAACTAAAACCCGTTTCATGTTCATGGAGCCCAGCATAATGATGGAAAAGCTAGTATTGATCCTGGATAACTGGCTCCTTGTTTTATACTTCTTTGGTGGAATCTTCTACAATTATTGTTAAAAACTGTCAACAATGCATTCTTGAACTTCTCCTCTTAAAATAGGTCTAAGCATATCACTAGCTGATACACTAATATTCACCCAGCATAAAATTCCCTCACAGGAACGATCACATTCGCTAAATCACTTACTTTTCATATTCGTCGTTGTCCTTGTCACAGCGAGCGTCTTTGTGTTTCTGCCAGTCTTTGCCATGCTTACAAGTCGTTAAGAGGACAATATCCTCTGAATTGTGGACGTGATATAAGGCATTCCTGGTATCAGACCCTATGCCAGTCAGGTACCTTTTCCCTTTAAATACCAACAAGTACTTTCTGAGAGGAGGGATATTATTAAATAGCATGTAACCCTTCTCTCCTCCGGTCCTTGGGTGATCTTTCGAAAAAAGAGGTATGGAAACGTCAAAATTGCTTCTAAAATTCTCGGTACTGATGCTGGCTTTGGCTAACATTGCCTGGCCGATGTCGAAGCCCAGGTCCTCCGTGTAATAGGGCCAGGTACCCGAATAAAGATTAAAGATCAAATGGTTCCTGCCATTGTTCCACAAGTACAGGCTCTGCACTTTGCTTTTCAGGTTATGTACGTACTGCGGCGAAAGCTGATCCCGATCCAAAGTGTCTAAACTCAGCACGAAGAGACACGCCTGTCTGGGATCCGAGGTGTAAAACTTGGAGTTCTCGATGGCTGCCAGGATCTTCTGGTAACTCTCGGAGATCTTCTCCCCTTTCTGCTGTGGATAAACGTAGACTTTGAAGCCGGTTTTCTGGCACAGGGAGAAATCAAAGCAAGACTCCATGCGGCATTTCTTCCCCTTGTACAGCCCGGAGTGGACCTCCCGCTTGTGCCTGGGGGAGCCACGCTGGGCAAACTCCTCGTTCCCGTCTTGCTCTTCCCGGGCAGAGAAACTCTGCAACGAGTTGGACCACTCGGGCCAGCGATCGGGAGCCGAAAGCAAACCATCGTCCCCATCAGCAGCCCAGCGTCGGCTCTGCCTCCTCCCGGAGTAGGAGAGCTGTCGAAACTGCACCGCTGCCAGGTACACGAGCAATAGGAGACAGGCGCCGGCTGAGAGTAAAAGGTAGCGTTTTTTGGCCTGCATGGGTCCGGTGGCAAAGCGGCTTGTCGCGCAGCGAGGAGCAGCAGCGGCACAGAGAGGGAACGCGATGCTGACCGATCACCACCTCCACCTCGCCATCTCCCCGACTGCAACAACTCGCCTCGCACACCTTCTCCCCAAGGCTGGTGGTGATCCAGGGCATGTGGGCGGCCAGTGACTCAAGTCCTGCTGCCGGCGCCGCTCATGTCTCAGCACAGGGAGGAGACTGGAGAGAGGGGGAAGGCTCGGCACGGGGAGAGGCTCGGCACGGGGAGAGGGGGGAGGCTCGGCACGGGGAGAGGGGGGAGGCTCGGCACGGGGAGAGGGGAGAGGGGGGAGGCTCGGCACGGGGAGAGGGGGAGGGAAGCCTGACCGCTCTCGCTCTCTCTCTCTCACCGGCTTCTCACACCCTCGCGGCTGCTCGGCGGCTCCCGCTGCCGGCGGCGCTGTGAGTGCGGCGGAGGCTGGAGGAGCCTGGGCCCGGGCCCCGCCAGCCCATGGAATATCTCTGCCCCTGTCTGCGTGTCTGTCCCCCGGGGCCGGTGGTGATGAGGTGCTGCTCGGCACCGGGCTGTGTGTGTGTGTGTGTGTGAGGAGAGATGGAGAGGGTGGTGGAGGGGGGGGGGGGGAGAGCCCGGGCACAGCGGCCTCTCTCTGTCTCTTGTTATATATATATATGTATATATATATATTATAATGATGTATAAGCGCTCGCTTTCCTCTCAAGGGCGTCGAGCGGCGCTCCTGAAGCGACCGAGCGTCGGCCCTGACTGCTCCCTCGGCCCGGTTTCCATTCCTCCTCCTCCTCCTCCTGCTCCGCCACCAACGGCTCCGCCACAGCCTCGCCTCGCGCCCGCCCCGCCCGCCCGCTGACGTCACCGAGCGCCGCGCCATTGGGCCGCGTCACTTCCGGCCCCGCGCCGCCCTCAGCCAATCAGGCGGCGCGGCGGGGCAGACGGACGGATCCCATTCATAAAGAGCGAAGTGGTGGTCTGACACACCCACTAGTGAACAGCCCCACAGTGTCTGTCCCCCATCACCCACCCACCCACCCATCAAGGGGGAGGCAGCAGGGTGTGGTGTAAGGGCTCGTCACCCTGTGGATGAAGGATGGCAGAGCCAGACAAACAACAAGTTACACGTACAGCGCCCTTCGCGTTGGAACGACGTCCCAGGGCGCTGGACAGTCGGGGTCTTTTGGACCCGAGCTGGGAGTTGGGGTCAGGAGGGGTGGAGGACGCGGGGAGTTGGGAGGGTGGCCGAAGGCATGTTCGAAGAGGAAAGTCTTCCAAGACGGGACTTTCGAAGGAGGCAAAAGAGAGGGCGAGGCGGAGGGATCGCAGGATAAGAGTTCCAGAGTGGGGGCTGAGATGCAGAAATTGCAATTATGTTGCATTTTTCACATCGCAATATAAATGCATATAAAAAGGACGTCCCCAAGGCAGATCCAGGCAGCAGAACCCCCGGCGGGAACGCCTCTCTACTCCCATCTCAATGGAGGTGCAGAGGTTACTTCCACCACAACGGGGACTGGATTGTTCTGTATTGTAATGTTTTTGTGTGGCGATGTCTTCGGGTGTATCTATTGTATACGTGTGCGTACAGCCGTGATTGGCAAGATTGCCCCTCGCAGGGTGCACGCATGTAGTGTATGTAGTGTACACAGAGGAGTTCCTGCTGTATCTAAAGGCAGTGCCCCACAAATCAAACATGTCACTGATGAGTTATGTTTTCTTTTTCCTGTCACGGGAACGTTTTTCTTTGGGACAAGTGTAAACATAAATTAATAATAATAATAATAATAATCCTTGCATTTGATATAGCGCTTTTCACGTCGGGAGGACGTCCCAAAGCGCTTCACAGAACACACTGTAAAGTGAATTGACTGTATATTTGTGGGCGAACGCGGCAGCCAATTGCGCACAGCAATGTCCCACAAACAGTCGTAGATTGAAAATGACCAATTTAATTATTGTTTTTAGTTTTGGAGGGATTATTATTAGGCTCTGTGTGGAGTAAGGAAACTTGCCCAAGGTTTCGCCCTCTGCCTGGAATTGAACTCAGGTCTCTCACTTGCAAAGCGAGTGCTCTAACCACTGAGCTACAGGACTCCACTAATTTATTTATTAATAAATATATACTTTGTTTAAAATAAACAGGGAATATCAGGAGGAAAATTGCTTCTCTCCCTACTTCCTACGTCTCTCTCCCCGCTCCCTCTAACTTCCTCCATCCCCCTCTTCTCCCCTCTCTCTACATCTTCTTCCCCCCCCAGTCCCCTGTAATTCAGCCATTACGCCCCAAAACTCTGGAACCTCAATACTTCCACCTTGCCCTCTGCCTCCCCATCTTCAAATCCCACCGAAAGATCTTCCTTTTTGATTGTGCTTGCAGTCACCTATCTCTCCCCTTGGCTTGGACTCTGCCACTGTCAAGCCTCTGAGGTGCTACCCCACGTGAAGGATGCTATATGAATGCATGTTGTTGGAAGAAGCCATAAAGGTTGTGAAAAGTGTTAGAAAATCTGCGCAATCCTCAGCTGGTTCCCAATATTAGTACAGTAGTAGAGACTCAACCTGGGGTGAACGCAGGACTCTTGACTCATTGCAGCACATGTGCTGTAGCAGTAGATGAAAATTAAATTGTTAGTGAAACTCATGCATTGCTTCATTTTTCTAAATGGTTTCAGACCACATCCTATTTTAATGTGTAAGAATTTTTTTGCTGTACAATCATTTATCATTTCCTGGCTGAAAATTCACTGGCCATTTTTTTTGTGGGATGTAGCACTGAACACCCAGTGTTATAGCCTCCCTCCTCCCCCCAAAAAGCTGTGTACTTTTCACTTTCTCATTGCTTCGTTTTCTGCACAGTGGCAGTGAATGGCAAAAATGTGGTACCAAAATGACTAAACTTCCTGCAGCTGAATGTGGAATCAAGAGCCATACTCTTTGGCTCCCATTAACATCTTCACTCCTACAGATCTAAACTCCTCAACCCAATCAGTATGCAATCTAGGCGTCCGGTTCGACCCCCAGCTGTCCTTCCTCCCCCACATCTGGTCTCTGACCAGGACAGCCTTCCTCCACCTCCGTCAGATTGCCCGCCTCCGACCACACCTTATCCCAAATGCAGCCAAAACCATTGTGCATGTGTTTGTCACCTCCCACCTGGATTATTCAAATGAACTCCTCGCCAGTCTCCCCAGCTCCACTATTCACAAGATCCAGCTCATTCAGAACACTGCCTGCCGCCTGCATACTGACCAAGACCAAACTCCGTACCCACATCTCACCAGTTCTGGCCAGGCTCCACTGGCTCCCCATCACCGAATGGATCGACTCCTCAAGATCCTCACACTCGTTTTCAAATCCATTTACTCCCTGGCACCTCCCTACCTCTCCAACCTCCTCACTCCCCAATCCACCACCTCCGCTCGACCAGCACCGACCTCCTGCACCCTCTGCTCCACCAATGGAGGTCGTACTTTCAGCCACTACGCCCCGAAACTTTGGAACACTCTCTCTCAATCCTCGTGCCTTGCACCCTCTTTCCCCTTTTGCAAGTCCCGCCTTAAAAGCTTCCTCTTCAACCATGCTTACAGTCACCTCCCCTCCCCCCGCAACCACCCCCAACCCCAGCTCGGAGAATGAAAGAAAATTGATAGTGCATTTATTCAAGCGCAATATATAATGTCTGTGTATCTAGACTATACACATACGAATGCAATCAGTGTTGTTTCTGAAATGCATTATATACATACGGGTGCATATAAACCTAAATTAGATGTGATAAACCTTTTTCAAGTCCCATCTGAAAACTTTCCTTTTCTACCGTGCTTGCGGTCACCTCCCTACCGCCCTGGCTTGGAGTCAGGCTCCACCATTGTTAAGCTCTCTGAGCCATTGCCTTGCATGGAGGGCACTAAATAAGAACAAGTTGTTGTTGTTATACCAATTGAGATTCAATCCATGTAGATTTGTTTCTTTTTTTAAGGAATGGATGGCACCTTTTCTCTCCCCACCACTGCTGTCTTCTATGTGGGGAAGGGAAGTCTAGTAGTTTTTCCAGCTGCTTTGAATCAGTCGACAGGAGGTGCAACTTTTTCTTCCCCTTATACAGGCTTTCCATCTGGGAGTTAAATGAGGACCAGTAAAAGTTGCCCAGTGGGAATATTAAAGTTTAAACAACAGTGAGAGTTGTAATTCAAACCTACATCAATAGTGTGAGTGCAGTGGCTATACAGTTCGAGTTACTATGCAGTCATAGAATTTTTCATATTTGTAATTCATATATATTGTCTTTTGTTTATTTTTCTCTTGATAATTTATGTAAAAGTGATGGTAAAATTGTTTCAAATTTACAGCTGGTCTGAATTAAGTACATTGAGGTCAAATTAATTCCCGCTCAGATACATTTTCAGCATTTTGGCAGAACAGTACAAAAAGATTTAGAGCATTATTTTTAAGTAAAACAAAATAATTAAACAAAAGATTCATCACCTCCCTTTTCCCTCTGCTGTTAGCTGATCTCAATTACAGGCAGTACAATTAGTCTGGTTAAGAAGACGGAAATGAGTCGGGGGTTGTGATCCAGAGCACTGTCCAATTGATCTTGACTGCAAACAACAGGTAAGTAGACATTAGGTTGAGAAAACAATTTATTGTAATAATAATCCTCATCACATTGTCGACACGTCTCAAAACAGTTTGCAGGATTTTATCGTGAAGTTTATTGACTAATTATTGAAGTTTATTGACTACAGAAGTCCTGTAGCTCAGTGATTAGAGCACTCGCTTTGCAAGTGAGAGACCTGGGTTTGATTCCCGGCAGGGTGAAACTTTGGGCAAGTTTCTTTACTCCACACACCTGATAATAATCCCTCAAAACAAACAATAATAAATTGGTCATTTTAATCCAGGACTGTTTGTGAGACACTGCTGTGCGCAATTGGCTGCCGCGTTTCGCCCACAAACATACAGCCAATTCACTTTACAGTCTATTCTGTGAAGCGCTTTGAGACGTGTAGAAGACGTGGAAAGCGCTATATCAAATGCAAGGATTATTATTATTTTTAGGCAAATATGAATTTGCCTCAGTTGAACAGCTTCAGTTCATTGCATAGGCTGACCACAATAAGAATGACCAGATGAAGTAAGGTATCCATATACCCTCAGTGTCTGTGGAACTGTATCTTGGTATGATTCATCATCTTCAGGATAAGAG